TCTATTCCTGTAAAGTTATCATCTCAGACTTTCACAGGGAAAGTTCTACCCTGCCCTATAGGGTCACTGTAGGTCAGCATAGACTCGATGGCAGTGACTTTGGTTCTGATTCTCTTGGTGGCTTTAATATTGCTGTGATGCTAGAAGCTATGCCACTGGCATTTTAAATACCACGGGCATCCTTGGTGGACAGTTTCATTGGAGCTTCCGGCTAAGACAGACTAGGAAAAGGGAATAGGCAATCCACGTCTGCAGTGAAGTGAAATTATTTGGTGCGACTCTTCTATCCATAGTATTTCTAACTCTCACCCAGGAACTGGGTGGGAGCATGCAAATAAGCAGTAGAAGATTCTTACTTGGGGATTGGTCAGATTTCTTATTCTGCTGGGTACAAAGAGAGCGATTTCAGAAGCAGGAAGAGGGAGCCTAAAGCCCTCCAGAAAGAAGAGCCACCAGTGGAAGTTGTGGACCTGAAGTTGTGAACACAGCAGCCCTGAGACCAGGTAGAGGAGAGGAGCCCAGCTGAGACCATGAGACCAAACAAAGTTGCAGTGCTGAGACCAGGAGGCTGCCAAGCCCACTGAATGAGTAAAGTTATCTGCCCCATGGAACTTATTAGCCCTAAATGAATTTTGTAACAGTTGCCTGAGCAGGGCAGAGGCAAAGGGTCCCCAAGACTGCAAGGCTAAGTAAGGACCGTGCCTGCTGGCATGGCTGAGAAGAGGCACTAAAGGAAAAAGAATTGTGTCCTTAATATTTTCTGATCCTGACTTGTTCACTAACCTAATAAACCCCCGTAATCCTTTAAAAAAAAAAGCTCTGGAATCACAAGATCCAATGTCACATTGCCTTGGGTCAATTTCCTAAAGATGACTTCTTTAAAGTCAAGGATGCTCCTTTGAGGACTAAAGTGTGCCTTAGTGTGCCGAAGCAATCTTATTCTTAATGGCCTCATGTGCATTTGAAATGTGGACAGTGAATGAGGAAGGCCAAAGAAGAATTGATATATATGAATTATGGTGCTGTCAAATAATATTGAAATGTCCATGAATTTGCAGAGAACAAACGCTTTTGCTCCTTAGAAGCAAAGTTGTGGAGACTTCATCTCAAGTATTTGGGACATGTTATCAGGAGAGACTAGTCGCTGGAAAAGAAGGCCATGCTTATTAAAGTAGAAGACAAAGACCTTCAATGGCATGGATTGACACAGCGCCTGCAGCAATGGGGCACAACATAGCAGTTGTAAGAGTGTGCTGTGTTTCCTTTCTCGGGTATGTAGGGTCGCTATGAGTCAGAACCAACAACAAAATATTCAACAACAACAACATATTTTGGTGTTTTTTGGTTAGCAGAATGTATATATTTTAGCATAAAATAACTAAAAGAAAGGGTTTCTGTCTATCTTTATGATTACAGCCACCTTATACAAGCAAAGCATGGAATGGAGAAATTCTATTAAGAATAATAAACTATCTTTTTTTCTCTCTTTTAAAGTTAGAGCTGGCATCATTAAAGTTTTTTCATAGGACAGATTACAATTTTACATTTTGTTAAATTACAATTTTACATTTTGTTTCCCCTTATGATCACATTTCAGGCAGTGACCATTTGGGACAATAAGCTTTTCAAAATCTTATGTAATATATGAACCCTGAAGAACATTATCAAAAGTATTACTCTTATTAAAATATTTGTATTGAGTTTGAGGCTACATGTTGTTGTCTAGAAAATGTTTCACTTTTCTTCACAGCTACGAACTTTCTATTTCCAGTGGTGGTGACTGTGTGCCTTTTAATCAGTCCCCACACGGGTAGAGAGAGAAACTCAGCCCCGTTTTCTTTCAACAGACAGAAACTCAGCCCAGTCCTGCAGGGTCATCCCAGTTCTTCTTAGATTCAAACCCCCTGTGGCAACCAGTGTCAAGGCTCTCCTTCTGTTCCGCTGCCGCTCTGCTGAACGAAGTATGGTGCCCGTTTCCAGAAACTGGTCTCTCCTGCTAACATGTCCAAACTACATGAGGTGTAGTCTCACTGTTCTTGCTTAATGGCGCATTCTGACCATACATTTTCCAAGACAAATATCTTTGTTCTTTTGGCAGTCCACAGTACTTTCAATATTCTTTGTCAGCACCATAATACAAATACATACATTCTTTGATTTTCCTTATTCAATGTCCACCTTTAACATCCTTCAGAGATTATTGAAAATACCAAGGCATGGGTCACATGCACTTTAGTCTTTAAAGTAATATCCTTGTATTTCAACACTTAAAAGAAATCTTGGGATGAAGAGGTACAGTGCCATATGTTATTTGATCCCTTGACTGTTGCTCCCTTGAACATTGGTTGTGGATGCAAGCAAGAAGAAACTGCCGACAAGTGCAAACTTGCTTTCCGGCGTGTCATGCTGTTATCTATGGGTCTACTTGTGAAGAGTTTTGTTTTCTTTACATTGAGTTGTACACCATACTGAAGACTGCCATCCTTGACCTTCATCAGCAAGTGCTGCTAGTCCTCACTTTCAGCAAGCAAGGATGCGTTTAGCTACAAGTTGTGGGTTATTAATTAGCATTCCTCCAATCCTGATGGCACATTCTTCATATAATTTGGTTTCTTTGACGATTTTCTCAGCATGCAATTTGAATAAATATGGTGAGAGGATGCAATCTTGTTACACCTTTCCTCTTTTTATACCATGCAGTATTCCCTTGTTCTGGTTCCGCAACTGCCTCTTTTATTGAGTTCTTCAGTTTAAGATATACTGACCATATTTGTCCTTTTTGAATTTGTACCTCTAGATTTTGAAAATTTCATTATAATATTTTATCTCCATGAGTCGCATTTTGCAATTTTCTGTTCAGCTCTTTAGCTTCATTGTTTATTCCATTTGCTTTTAGTTACGCTATTTTAGAGCAATTTCACGGTCTCTTCACTTTGATCTTGCTTTCTTTCCTGTCTGTTTAGTGTCCCTTTGTTTGTTTTCATGTATGATGTTCTTGATGTTCTCCCACGGGTCATCAAGTCTTCTGTCATTAGTGTTCAACATGTCAATTTGTTCTTGAAATTCAGGTGGGATAGACTCAAGGTCGTATTTTGGCTCAAGTAGACTTGTTTTAATTTTCTAAAACATCATTCTGAACTTACATATGAGCAGATTCCACAGTCGGCCCTGACCTCATTTGGACTTCTGATATTGAGCTTCTTCATCATTTACTCCCACAGATGTAGTCAGTCTGATTTCCATGTATTCTGTATGGAGAAGCCCATGTGCATAATTTCCATGTGTGTTGTTGCAAAAGGTACTTGTGAAGAAAAAGTCATTGGTCTTGCAAGATTCTATAATGCGCCTCCAGCTTCATTTTTATCACCAGCACTATATTATCTAATTACTATTTCTCCCACTTTGTTTCCAACTTTTTCATTCTAACTACCAATAATTATCAATGCATCTTGATTTCATGTTTGTTAAATTTCTTCAATTTCTACATCATTAGCATAATAGTTGAATTCATTTGAATAATAGTTGTATTGATTGGACTTTCTTGAATGAGCCTGGGCATTATTGTATCACAGAGAGCATTTTATTTCAATATAGATCTTGAAGTGTTCATTCTGAAGGTGAAAGCAACCCCATTCCTCTTGAAACTGCCATTCCCAGCTTAGGGAACTGTATTGCTATTTCAAAATGACCCATACCAATGACGAATGTCAAGGACATCGATCTTTATGTGTTCCATTTCATTTGATGACTTCCAACTTTTCTATATTCATACTTTATATATTTCAATTTCCAAGTATTAATAGCCATTTGCAGCTGCTTCTCATTTTGAGTCATGTCCCACCAGCAAATGCAGGTCTCGATGGCCTCGCTCCATCTGTGTTATGATGGCTGACAATTTTTAGAAAGTAGTTCTTCCCCAGTCATACTGAGTACCTTCTGACCTAGGGGCTCATCTTCTGGAACTTCCTCTGACAATACCCCTCTGCTCTTCATGAGGTTTTCAGTATCTGACAATGTCCCAAAGCTGTCTGGGAGGGAGGTGTTCAGTACCTAATTCCTCCATGGCACACAGTCTATTCCTCTTTGTAGTCTGTTCTGAGTCTGGAAGCTCTGCCGAATCTTCACTTTGAGTGATCCAGATTTTTATTTTTTTAAATATCAGTGATAGAGCTTCTAACATCACAGCGACACACAAATTCCCACAGTACGACAAACTGTTAGACAAAGGATGGGTCCTTGTAGGATATTATAATTACATTTTTGATTCAAAAAGGGAACTAGCCATGACCAATATAAACAAATGCTTTATGAACTCCTGGGATAATAAAAATCTTGATACAGATGTGTACTATTTAACAATAGAGAGAATTAATGTTTTCAAAGTCACCTAAAATTGTTGCCTTTGAAAACTAATGCTGGGGGCGAAAAATCATCTTTGGAAGTTAATTTTTAATTAATTTAAGTTAAACAACATAAGGCTTTTGTTTTATTTTTAGTTTAACTTTCAGAATAGTTATGTAATATTATAACTGAAAAGGACTTCTTATATTACTTAACCTAGTCTTCTGAATTACTGATGGTACAATTGAAGTTCAATAGAAGAACGTTTTGAAATTATTGATGCTATTAAAATCAGATATAAATTATGCTATGCTATTCTAATGCTTTATTCACTATTGAAAATATTTTCATGCATACAAATTTCAAGAATATAACCATATTGAAAGTAAAAGGAATATATGATTCATCTCAAATTATAAAAGCAGACAACAAAGATACCAATTAACTTGTGCTATATAATACATGCCTAATAAATGTTGTATGACTTTTTAATTAGCACTTTTTTAGGACATGAACATGGATGATTTAGGATGATTTAGGATTTAGGATGATTTTTAGGACATGAACATGTTGGGTAGCTAAATCAAATTTCACTTCTGGAATAAATGTTGTATGTCTTAATACAGACTTAATAACAGATTTTTTTTCTTTTCTCAAAGGGCATTTGGGTACCAGAAGGAGAAACAGTGAAGATTCCTGTGGCTATTAAGATTCTCAATGAGACAACTGGCCCTAAAGCTAATGTGGAGTTTATGGATGTAAGTACATACAGTGAGACATTTCTATCCATTGTTGACAGATAATACTACGAGGGGATAAAAGACTACAGTTTACAAACATTCCTCTCTGAAGAAGTTATAATCTCATATAATTAAAGGAATTTCTAATACCATGGCATATTATATTTGGGGGCTCACCTCTGGATCACAGCTATTCTTCTAAGAAAGGATGATAGAACCCACCTTCAGAATTTGGTGAGATTTTCAAGCTCCAAGGTGGACTGTCTTCTATGTCTGCACTGTTATGTAATGTTTTCATATTTTATTTCAAAATATAGTTATAAACCTTTTAATTAAATTCAATATACAATTTAACTTGAAAATCTATTAAATGATCATAAGTAATAAATTATATTTAGGTAGATAGCTGACAATAAGTTGACTCTTAACTCAGGTCAGCTTTTATACAGCACAACTTAAAACATCGCTATGTCCCACATCATCCCCAAGATTGCCAACTGATTGGAGTTTATCATTGTGGCTTTTGTACCAATCCATCTCAGCAGTGGTCTCCCTCTTCTTCCTTGGCTCATTACTTTGCCAACCACGGTGTCTTTCTCTGTCGATTGATCCCTTCTAATGACGTGTCCAAAGCAATGAAGGCAGGAAATGTAATGGGGTATTGTTTCCATTTGCTCACCTTCGGAAGTGGATCACCAAGTCTTTATTCCTCACATGTATTTGTCTGAAAGCTCCAGCGGATCCTGTCCAGTGGATCCTGTGGCTTTTGAAATCCTGGTGCCAAAGCTTTTAGCATCACAATATCCACAGCCCACCACAGTCCATCAAGCTGACAGACAGTGTCGGATCGTATATAAACCCAGATATGGTGAATATAGTTCTTAAAATTATTGACATTGCATGACTGAATGGTATTTGAAAAATCAGGTGGTGACCATGATAAGAATCAGCACTAGCCCTTCCAAGGTATTTACTAAATACCACGACATAGAGGGGCGCAATGCTATGACAATGGGATCGCACATACAACAGTTGGGAGGGCCGGCCCATGCTTCGTTCTGCGGTACATAGGGTCTCTGTGAACCACAACAGCAACAAGCTCTCTTCTAAATGCCTTTCAAATGCGTAATCACTCGGCTCATTTTCACCGCACAGTAATCCAGATACTTGGGATACAGAGGATAACCCAAGGTTGCAAAATAAGGTGAAGGCAGGTCTAGATCTGGAGTTAGAAAGACGGGCTCTCCCAGGAGCCAACCTACTATGTCAGTTCTATAGATTAAGTCTGTTAAGACACGAGGGCCGGGGTGTCTGGCACAACTACTCACTGTGCCACCCGTGTAATGGAAAAGCAGCCACAGAGAAGTACACAAATAAAACATAAACTGAAGTGTGTTCCAATACAATTCTATTTTGAGAAACGCGTACAAGCCAGATTTCGCCTATGGTCCAACATTTGCACCCACAGGAAGTGTGCTTATTCACTAGATCAAAACACATTTGAGAGTAGGGATGATGTTTCAAATGAACCTGACTGCTCTCTGTTATTATGTTCAGAATCTAGTTAAGGAGCCCTGGTGGTAGAATGGCTAAGCATCAGCTGCTGACTGCAAGGTCAGTAGTTTCACTGTACCAGCAACTCCATGGGAGTGAAGGCCCAATGATTTGCTCTCATTCAGGTTATTGTTATAGTTCTTACGTGTCATGGAGTCAGTCCCAACTCATAGTGCCCTGATGTACACTAGCCAGTCCTGAGCCATCTGTACAACTTATCGCCTTACAATCCCGCAGGGTCACAGCGAGTCCAGTGGACTCAATACACACAGCAATGATCTATCTAGTTTAAAACTTCCATCAAGATTAGCTTATGTAGTAAATTATTCTTTGTTTAAATTAGGACATTTCTTCAGTCAAAGAATTTCGCATTGAAATTCAACCCAAATGCTGAAGGGAAGACCTTATAGATAGAAGGCTCCTTCTGTGGAATAATAAAATAATTCTAAAGAAGAAAAGTACTTTATTAGGTAACTCAGACCTTTCAGATTTCTTCCAGCAGTAATTGTAGAATGAGCTGTTCAGCAAGTTTCAGAGGATAGCAGGAATAAAATCAGATATGTAGCATGATATTACCCCCACCCCCCAACATTTAGCTCAAGATATCTTTCCATGGGTTCCTCTAAAGACTTAGACACATCCTCCCCCCACCACTAAGCATAATATCTTCAGTAATAGAAATAATGTTGTTTTTAAGTGACTTTCATGTGAAAGTTAATAGAAGCACGTGTACTTTGACTTTTTATTGTACTTTAGAATGGATTGCTATCTATTTCTATCCAATGCACCGGCTGGTGTCATTTTATGTACACATAATAAGCTTACACTATCTTAAACATTTTTATAGAAGTTTTACAGGAACTCAGACTGTGCACTAAGATAGGGTATTTGGATGGAATACTAATCATTGTACATAGGTCTACTCTTACTAAATTTACTATTAGTTATTTTACAATACCCAAAGGAGGCAAACAAATTGCTTTAATTGATTTGTGCCCGTGACTTACCAATCGCTGAACATTTTAATTAGCACTCTTGTTACGTACTCATCAATATTGATCTGTCAGACACTGAATACAGTAACCAAATAGTGTTTCCTTCTCTAGTTTTCTAAATCTTCTCACAGTCTTCATAGTTCCATATGTGCTGATTCATAGATTAAAGTTTAATTTCTCAAATATGTTCCAGCCACGTCACAGTTGATCTCTGTGGTCTCTATCACGGGATTACATTTTTTTGAATGGGGATTATGCTTACATTTTAAAGAAAATTGACAATTGGTTCTAACACTATAGGTTAATGTGTCAAACGGATATAAAACAGATCATACTCAGACTGTGCCAAAGCTGACAGTCCCAAGAATGCTAATAATCTCTGCTGGAGGCTCTGGTCAGCCATTTTTGTCCTATTTCCATGGAAACAGACTGGGAAAAAGGGGTTAAGAGACTACAGAGTAATCACCTAAGAAAGAAGCTCTAAACCCTCATCATGATTTGAATGATTATCTGAAAGCTTCTAACCCCCACTTTTTTCTTTCTTTCTTTCCTTTTTTATTTTTTACATTTGAAGTCTATCCCCATGGAAACAAGACTGAGGATGGCAGTTTGAAGTCTTACATTTGCTCTGAATTTTAAATGAGGCACTGATTGAGCCATGAAAGGAGTCATTTTCCTAGATGGTTGATGGGTTTGGGAACCAGCAGACTCTAAGGAATCTCTTATTTTTTAGAAGTTAAAAAAACAAGCCAGGGAAATATTTTGACTACTCCTTTTCTACCTGTGGATAGACGCTAGAACATTAGCAAATGGATGGGTTGCTCACGGCGCAGTTTCAATAAGTAACAGGGAGAAACACTTCGCACTGTTTGGCGACTTCTTGACTTCTTTCCTAACACGAGAGTGATAACATTAAAATGATGAAAAAGCAGTTTAACTGGAAAATGAACGGTGAATTCATTATTTTAAATAGGCTGGTGGGGTTTTCATGTACACAATTCAGACCTACACCCTCAGTTCTTCTCTTCTACGTGGAACATAGGAAAGCACTGTAGAAAAGTTTAGATGAGAAAAATGTTTTGTAACTTGGACCCAAGGATTGAGCTGAAATTGCAAAAATCCCAAGTAACTAAATGAGGAAAAGAAGCTTTGGCATATGTTGTAGTTTAAATTCTTTCGGAGCAGAGGTAAATCCCCATACGAGGATTTGACAGAAGTAATTTATTTTAGTTAATTTTGTATGTCAAGCAAACATTAGTAGGGGGATCTATAAATGAGTCACGATAGGCAGAAGAAATGGAGAGTTTTTCTCCAGGAGGAACTTTGACAACCAATATAGGACATCAGCCTCAGAGGTTGGCGGGTTGGATGTTTTGTCTCCAGGGGAGAAGCACCTGTGGGCCTTCGACCAGTTATCAGTGGTCCTGGGTTAAGGACCGCTGCCTTAGGAGGGGTAAGGTAGGAGGGCTGTCCAGTCTGCTCACGGTGGCAAAGCTGGTTTCAGAAAGCCTGGGATAAAGGAAAGCAACTAGAAATCATTTGGTGCAATACTATGGTAGATGTTCCAAGGGTAAAATTTCAAAGTGAAATAAGATATTCTGTTCCATGACTCGTGCAGCTTAGTGTATGTGGATGTTTATATGCATGTGTGCCTATGATTTTGATACCATCTTTCAGGGGGAAATAAAGCTTGCAAAGACCATGGAAATGGCATCCTCTCGTTAAGTTTTAGATTCTTTTCTTCCCCCCAATAATAGGTCCTATTAGACTTATCATATGCAGCTACTCACAAGTGGTTGTTGTAAGATATGACCTGAATTCAGCAACTTCATACTCAAAACCTCAGCACTGCATCTCACACGTCTATTGATCTAGAAGGACAAAGGAGATGACTTTCAGAATGTCTTAGCATTTTAGCTGTAGGAAAAAAATAAATAAGGAGTTTTTATTCTATTAAGTGCTAGACTAAAAGCAGAGGCAGAGGAATTTGGTCAAAGGGCTCTTTGTCGGCTCACCTGAGTGTGCCTAATGGATTCATAATGCCGATAATAACAGCCTGCCAGTGAACAGCCAGCACATTCTTCTTCCCCACATCGAACAACATTAAGCAAATGACTCCAAACTTCCATCTTCATAAGAAATCCTGCATTGGCCGCAGTTTTTAGAACTTGTTTTAAATAGCCTCATTTTGTTGAAAAAAGGTAGTGTTGTTTTTTGTGTTTGTTTAATTCTTTCAAATAGTGCAGAACGTGTACCTAAAATATGATGCCATTGAGCAAGAATCTGGGGATTGGGGATCATGGACTGTTCACGTTAAATAAGCATTTTGTTTGTCTGAGTTTCTACCATGGTCATTATTTAAATCCACCGTCAGTGGACATCCTGATTACCACAGAAGAGCATACCTTTATAAGTGACTTTCTTTTTGGTCTCGTTTTGTTTTTTCTTATAAAAACTAAGGCTGGAATG